GTGTCCTCTTTTGGAAGGCCAAACAAAGTATTTTCGCTTTCGCAATGAAACACACAGCGTCTTCACAACATGGCGGTGGCGGCAACAGCGAGAATAAAGTTACGCCTTCTTTCTTTGCGTTAACATTTGGGCGGCGTTATGCAGATCTTCCCACATCGTTACGTAGACATGTGGGGGCGTGTTTAAACGAGGCGTTTTAGAAGGGCGTGGACCAGTCTTAACTTTTATAAAGAATATCTCTTTGGGTTTGAGACTTTAGTCTTTGCAACTTTAGGGATCTTATCTATTCACAAACAGCTTGTAACACTCCAAAGAGAAAGGAAACTTGAAATCGCATCATATGACCCCTTTAAGCAAATTCGCCAAGCTGACCAACAGAAAGCTGCTTGGTTCATGTGGCGAATTCTCGTGACCAACTTGAATATGAGCGAAAACTGTGTGAGGAAATTTATCGTAACCAAGCAGTTTTCTGTTGGTCAGCTTGGCATATTCACGTGACTAACTTGAACAGCGAGAATGCTGCCATGACAGTAGTTTAACTGAAACTGAAAAATGACTGTAGAAGACAATGTTTACAGTGATGCCTACTTTAGTGCCCCTTGTGGCAATGATAACATATTTCATACATTGATGCATGAAATCACTTACATTACTCTACTTACATAGAGAAGTGGGTGGTTCTTACCCAAAATTAACTGCAATGTTGACTTTATGATATTCAAAGACTTTATGCCGTTTTTGCTCATTCACATTGGTCACACGAATTTGCCAAGCTGACTAATGAAAGCTGCATGGTTCATGTGGCGAATTCTCATGACCAACTTGAACATGAGCGAAAACCGCGTGAGGAACTTTATCGTAACCAATCAGCGTTCTGTTGGTCAGCTCGGCGAATTCATGTGACCAACTTGAATAAGAGCGAAATCTGCGCGGGGAACTTTTTCACCCTCATGCGAACCTCCCAGCCACACGGACTGGATTTGGCCCGCAAAATTAAAGCCTGAAATACACTCTACTCAAATACGCAAATATGAGTGCTTGCAGTGCATTACAAATGCAGTAAGAAAGGCCGTAGTTTCCTTCAAACATCTGTCTTAAACCAAATTCAGGTAGCTATCTACAAACATGTCAACAGTTTAAATGTAAAATGTGTCATTTTTGCACCCCTAGTGCAAGATTCTTTTCAAACTGTTGCTCCGCCATGACAGTAGTTTAGCTGAAACAGAGCAATGACAGTAGAAGACAATGTTTACATTTATTGCCTACTATAGCGCCCCTTGTGGCAATGCTGACATATTTCATAATGTGATGATGCATGAAATCAAACTAGAGCTGGTGTTTAAGTACTTATGTAGAGTATGTTTTGGGCTTAATGTCAGTACAACAAGATTCTTGAATGCTAGACTGTTCAAACAAATAAGCTACACTATGTGACAAGGAATAACTAAAGCACATTGTACGGAACAACATGTATTTTAGTTCCACGAAGCTTGCTGTTAATGCCATTATTACAAAATGCACAGCAACGACAATCTGCCTTTTAAAGCCAACAGCACCAAACACCCACTGAATGATCAAAGCCAACAACATATGCACAAACACAGCTTCAGAAACACAATAAATAAGTGTTTGAAATAGAAACAGATTTAGCAGTCTCCCTATAACAGTGTATTGAGATATTTTAGGGTATTTACAGGGTTGCTAATTAATCTACTGCTGTTTTTAGCATGATAATTTAGTAATACAGCAGGTCTTATTAATAAAGTGAAGTTTTAACTTTAGGATATTAATTGTGCATACCTCACTGCATTAGTTGTGTAGGAGGGGTTGTGTGAACAGATTTTGGTGGTTCGTATGGTGAATATTGATTATTTTTCACTGGTCAGTTTCATCCTTGTCAAAGGTAACTTGCACTGCTGTAGCACATACATGCAATCCTTTTTCTAAATGTTTACAGGGTCTTCAGCAATTTACAGTAGCATCAAGTACTTTGTCTTTAAAAACCCTCTGAAATCAAAAATTGGGAGATTTGTGACCTTAAAAAAAATTCAAGACAAGCCTTTCACAATGTCCTACCCCAACTAACTTTTTCAATAGGAAATATATCAAAACAGGACTAAAAACTCCACTCTACACAGGATTTCATGGGGTTTTTAATACTACACTAATAAGATACTGAGTGTGTTTAAATGCACAATTCAGCTCATTCTAAAATCCCAGCAATGCAAGAAACACTTACATGAGATTTGAAATGATCGGTTTACATACAGTATGCACACACGAAATAAACCGCCAGGATTGTGGCTTAAACAGTTTATGACCTTCAGCTGATAAAAGAAAACCTCTTGTGTGCTTACATGACTTTACATGCTGCTGGGTTATTAAACATAATCAGCGTAGGACCGTGCAAGTAAACACACTCATTGTCAGTACAGAGTTCAGAGATGCAGTATTTTGAATAGAAATAAAGTTGAAAGCCTTTAGGGAAGTCATCATAGCTGTGGCCAATATCATTAAATGGTGTTTACTCTTTTCTATTATGATGTTTTCACTTGGCCATTTGCTCTCATTTTGTTAGGATAATGTGTCTTGGATGCACATAGCAATAAAATGAAGCACTGTAATAAATGATTTTCTACAATGCTTGTACGTTTGTGGTTTTGCCATTAAATGAACTTTGTCTCCTTCTCCGGTCTTTTTGCTTCCTCGTTTCTCGGTTCAAATGAACCACGGTACTCTTATCTGGGGGGGGAGTGCTGGGCACTGTTTT